ACACGCTTTTACCAGACTGAGCCACAGCAACGCGTGGCCGGGTACAGCTAGTTGAGTATAAAAGTTTTCTAATTATTTCTACAAATAATAATCACATCAATATAATATTCCTTTTCTATCTAGTCATTCTGATTGTCTCATCGTAGATCCTGTTTACAGTTCTTGTTTACGTTTGTTTTTCCCCCACAATGTTCTAAACATTCTTACTGGTTAAGATTTTCTCAATCTTAAAATATTTAAATATTTAAATCTATTTTTTCTCATGTAAGACTTATTCCCATTTCAGGAAATTTCTAAACTGAAGACGGCATCGGCGTTTACAAGAAAGGGAGAAAAAAGAAAAAACCCTTACCACGCAGATATCTGCCTGTTTACAGGAACAAGTAGGGCTGATCAGCATCTCAAGTTGACAACGAAGTTTCTCATCATCGCCTAGGACTTGATTGAACTTTTTCACAAAATCCTGGGCTTTCCCAGGATCCGGAAGATTTTCTGCAGAATTACAAGGGAAAGGTGTCAATTCAAGTTGCGGCTTCAAAGCTAGGCTAAAAATGAAAACTCTATAAAAATCGGCAGAATCTTACTTGCTATAGTCATCAGCTTTCCAAACATCGCAGCGCTGTTTGCCTCTGACTGAAAGGAGAAGTGTGGGTGAGAATTCACACAGAAGGTGTGTCGTTGTTAACCCTTTTGACTTGTTCACACATTTGCCCTTCGCTGTATTTTCAGCCCAACCTGCTTTTAAGATTTGGCAATAAGCGAATATAGCCATTGTCGGAAAAGCTTATAAAAGCCAGATTGCCACGTTTTTCAAAGATTGACCTTTTTTCCCGTATCCCATCCATATGTCATGGTTCCAACAGATGAAACTCTTCCAAGAACTTTGAGGCATTGTTTACCTTAAAGAATCTTTATTTGAGAAGCATAGCATCGCACTAACACAGTCGAAGCCAAAATCTGAGCACAATTCAAAGCACAATTCCCTCCTCCAATTAACAGTCATAAATCACATTCTCCAATTAGCTTGAAATGCAGGCTTCCCCTCCAGTTCTCCAGCCCGCCAATTTCTTATCGTCTCTTATTTCAATAACCTTAGTTCTCACACCAGGTCCAGTATTGTTATGTCTATCTAAACTCTCATGCACATTCCTCTCCCCCCCCCGCATCATCTACTCTAAAAGTAAAACATAAGAAGAAAATGATTGCATCTCTGTTGTCAAAGCAAAAACATCCGATTTTAGCAGCGTTGAAACCATATTTGGTAGATATACAGGTAGTCCCCTACTTACGACAGTTCATTTAGTGACTTGTGTCAAAGTTACAACGGCACTGAGAAAAAAATTGATTTTATGATTTATTTTTCACACTGACGACCGTGGGGGCATCCCCGTGGACGCCTGATCAAAATTCAGACACCTGGAAACGGACTCATATTTATGACGGTCGCAGTGTCCCCCGGGAGGGTCATGCGATCCTCTTTTTGCGACCTTCTGACGATCAAAGTCAGTGGAGGAAGCCAGATTCACATAACAGCCATGTTACTAACTGAATAACTGCAGTGATTCCCTTAAGGACTGTGGCAAGAAAGGTCGTAAAAAGGGGCAAAATTCACTTAACAAATTTCTCACTTAGCAACATAAATGTTGGGCTCAACAGTGGCCGTAAGTCAAGGACTACCTGTGTTATATAGTGTTAGTAGTAGTCTGCTCTTGTAAGAAAGGGCAACGTCCAAGACGACACCGTCTCATTCTTTGTGCTGTAGATTTTACCCTATTTATGTCTCGTTATTAAGCTCTTCACGGCCAATTATTTTGAGAAATAGCAGAGTTGAAAGAACAAATTCAGAGTGATTCAACATAGCAATTCTGAGGGACAAGGGAATATTATTATTCTAAGAGACAGCAGTATTCAAAAGCAAAACATGCCGAGCAGAACGATTATAGCTATTTTGAAAACCTACGGTGGGCGTTTTATGCAAATCTAGCAATTCCCGCACATGGCTCCTGAGCATGTTCTGGCACTTCCACATTTCATTCAGTGCCCTGGGCATAAAGACATAAAAAATATGTTAAAAGCATGGAAAAAAAAGGTGACTGTATACGTAGCATATGGAGCTCCCTGGCATTCTCCACCCCGCAGCTTCTTTTTATGAGACAGCTCTTCTCAGTATTATCGTGTTTTTTTTTCAACGTTTATGCACATATTTAAGTCCCAGATTCGTACCCTTTCTTACTTCCTTTTCATTCGGGCACTCCCAGAGGCACGAACCCCCAAAGATATCTAAGTATTCATATCGCAAAATACATTCTCTTAAGTAGTTCTGAAGAACAGCAGGCTGCCTTGATCTGAATTCTACTGAATATCGATTTTACAAATTTTATTAATTTTTCAAATAAACATATGGACAAATAATACAAATATGGTGCGTTTCATTAGAAAAACAAACACATAAAAAAAGCCTACTCAGTAAGTATTCAGAAATAACCAGCGGTCCCCCCCCCCC